AAAACACAAATCTTCGTTCCGCGGACGGGACGTGACGCGGCCCCTCGCTTCGATGTTTGCCGCGTACTGAATCAAGATGGCCGAACATAACAGTAGTGACATGTTGAATGACAAACTCATAATTTAGGAGTAGTGGGGAGAATTCACTTTGCCCGGGGTATTCACTTTGCCCGGCCTTCCCCTAATTTATATAGCTGTGGTAAGAAACTCACTATCTTTCTGCACGTGAGACTCAATAACAAAAATCTAATAAGAGATTTGTCTGCAGATGATGGTGAATTTCCTACAACTGGTACATAATTTGGAGATTTTCTGTGGAAAATGTCACTTATGTGGTTTTACGTATAAGCAAACGATATATTCAAACCACAAATGTATTCGTGTAAAAACTATACCATAAAATCCCATTTTTATCATGCCATTTTTTTCCGTCATAAATGTAATATGGCCCTTGGCTCAAAGACTATTCGCAAGCAGCCAAAAGATGAAAAAAACAACCAATTTTTACTCTATGGACCTCGATGACATCGCGAAAGAATAGTTGTTTCATAGTTTGTGTAAATTAAATGAAGAGCTGGTTTCATGTACTGAACATCTCTTTGAAATGACACCAGCTAATTAATTAGACCATAAATAGGCAAGAAATAGCACATTTTTTAGTGTCTTATATACAAGCGATAATAATAATAAATATTTAAATATTTGACCGTTGAAAATTGTTATATTTTTTCATATTTAAAACTAATTGGCACACTTTCACAATGATTCACTAGCAAAACTATAGCTAAATACAAATTACTAACTAAGGAGGTTTTATTTACTTAATTCTAAACAATAAGCGGACTGAAAATTCGTGAAGAAACATTTTTGTATAAGAATTTATTTACATTTAATGCTTGATATGTGTTATTATTGCGGTGGATCTAAAAATTTTGAAATAATACTTTAAAAAATATTATCATTTCGATTGCAAAAATTTTGTCCTGCATAAAAATTATTTATTCTATAAATAAATGCTTAAACAATACTATTAGGTGTGACTATGTCTATATTTACATGTTCTCACAATCACGAGTATTTTAATTGCACTTTATTTGTATGCAGGTTGCCACAATGATGATCATCATAAAAAAAAATACGCAGTCTCGACGCATTCAGAAAGCTATGGCAGTATTTTGAACAACTCTTTACACACAACCATACTGAATTATTCGCGGTTACGAGTTTATTTCTATATAAAATCATTCCTCTCTTTAACCATAGACAATAACAGCAAGCTAAACGCGTAAGGCGAAATATGCAATAGATATTTTGTCTTTCCGGTTTACAGTAGCTGTTGAAACCATTGTTCTATAGACATTATCATCAACCCAAGTATACGTTCCACTGAACCGACACAGGTCCAATGTGGGTGACTTTACACGATGGCGTAGTGTGGGGGGTACAGAAGGGGCAGTGGCCCCGAGCGGCACAGCAATTGGGGCCCAAACTAATCAATACTATATTTTTTATCGAGGTACTAAAACGAGCCAGTATACACCCGAGGTGGTTAGTCACTCGAGCTTTGGCGAGGTTTATATTGGCTTTTGAGTCCTGAGTTAATCGATTGCGAGAAAAAATAGTCAATTAAGTACGAAAAACGATTTAAGTGCTACGTCGCGTTACTAAAATGGTTCATACCATAGATTTAGTATATCCATAGATTGGCCCTGACGTATTGGAGACGAGACCAAAACAAAAATACATCTGTGTGCGTATAATGTGCATGTGTGCAAGATAAATAGTGTTGCGCCATCCACTGATTTAACTTTAATATCGATTAACATATTACACCGGCATTTCACTTCGTTGTATTCACCAAAATGTCTTAACGCAAAATACCGAGACGTTAATTAACTAGTTAATTAATGATTCAATAGAAAATTAAGAAAGCTACTATCACCTTCTGGTAGTGCCACAGGATGGTAGGTAAACAAAAGGGGACTTTCACCCAAGATAACACTATGGCTCTACAAAATGGTGATAAGACCCATGATCAGTTACGGCGCGATAGTATGGAGGCCACGAACCAAGCTGACGACCGCAACCTACAAACAAATATAACTATTATAATTATTGTATGATATGATAACATAGAAGTGCATCACAGCAGTGAATTTGCAGATAAGTAATAGAACCAAAAAACCGGCCAAGTGCGAGTTCAACTCGCGTGGAGAGGTTTCGGTACAAACTTAACATTGTAGTTGAAGAATATGTTCTCCAATAGATTCCAACAGCAAATATAGGTTTATTCGCGCAATAGTAGGAAATTTAAAGACAATTTCTGTATTTTTTCAAAACTTTAGGCTCTGTAGTTTCGAAGATAAAGGGTAGAATGATCAATTTTTGTCTATTTTCTTAAACAACTTAAAAATATTTACATTTCATAATTACAAAAAATATATATTCTTAAGAACTTTCCCTCCCAATAGTCACTTAAAAATTTAGAATTAATTTATTTACGTTGCACGTTTTGGTCACACAAATGAATATGTGTACCAAATTTGAAAAAAATCAGTATCGTATTTTGGAACAGAACAGAACTCTAACAACAATAAATCGCTGATTTCTTGTTGATGAGAGTAGTGCTACACAAAAATCAATTAATTGTAAGACATACCGCATGAATAATGTGGGTACAGAACCAGAACGTAGCTTTACTCTTTGCTTGCCTCTAAAGGCGTTTTATTTAAAAGCATTTTTCCTCAAAGTGTTTGTTTGCTGCATATTTTTGAAAACTTTTTCGAAAGTTTTCTTTCTTTAGCTTTATAAGCCATTTCTGTCGTACTTCAATGTTTTGAGGAAATCTGAATCAACAACAATAATTAACATAAAAAATGGGTGCCTCAACTATGCTATTAAAAGAAATTTTCGTTTTAATGTAAACAAAATATAATGTTCTAATGCAATATTAATTAAATATAAAGTACTAAATCCAGAAATTTCTGATTCAATAAATAAAAAAAAATTAAGTATGAAGATGATTTCGGCTGTATGCAAGTCACGCCTTTGCCTTTCTTTTTTTCAGTTAATGACATCTCGATAACATATTATCGATTGCGTCAATCTCTATGAAAGTGGGGTTATGAATTTCAGAAATTCACGTATTTGATATATTTTTTAATTGAATTCGTATACATTTGGGTTATTAATGCACTTGAATGGTATAATTTTACGGATATATTTAAGTAAAAAACTTTTGTGGTAGTGCTTTTAGACAGCTAAAAATTTAAATAGTACTTACATGTGAAATGTACAATTCTGCGAGTTTTCCTTTTTAGATAAGTTACATCCGGACACTGAAAACTTTACAATGACTAATAAACGTCCGTTTAACACTATTTCACATTTTAAAACCAATTATTTTTCAAAAATAAACGAAATTTGTTTCGTTGTCAGCTGACCCTAGGTTCATATAGCCTCATAGCTTATAATGAAGTGGTCTCGTCTACCCATCTCGTTCTAACATACGTGTATACTAACTCTCTTTCACTTGCATTGCCAATCTATGGGTACCTATATACTAAATCTATGGTTCATACATAAACGCACTAACGCGGGAAAATAATAAAAAAAGAAATGTAAGACGCCACCGTCTATGCTGAAAAGGCATGTAACTAAACATAATCGAAGCGAGTCTTTTTGGAAGAAAGTAGAGCAAGTACTGGCTCTCTGAGTTTGTCTAAGGCTCAATTCCCACTGGCGCAGAGTCGAAGCGTCGCGACGCGTCATGTTTTTCGCCTATAGCATATTCATCTATATTTTCCAATGATTAAGATACAAATTTGTGTTTTGTAAATATGGAATCGAGCGGCTTCGCGCGTCACTTGGGCGCCGTGAGGCGTCAGACGCCGACCAAACTGTGATCCCGGTGCATTAATGCGAGCGTCGTCGCGTGTCGTCGCGCGTTGACGCGCGTCACCTGGCGGTGGAGTTGAAAAACAGGACGCGACGCGACGCTTGGACTCTGCGCCAGTGTGAGTTGAGCCTAAGTCACCCAAAGTAAATTTAAAAAGTAGGTAGGTACTTTTTGTTCCGGATTTAAACAATGCACGTTACGCCCTAGGGATTAAATTTTGCACTTCACGCCCGCTACAGTGACGTACTTTTAGAGCATGAGAAATGAAAAATATTTTATTTAAGTACTTAAAATTAGAAAATAAATTCCACTAATTGAGAAAACGATATCCTGAACGATACACAGGAGGCGACGGCAGGCGAACTAAAAACACAATCGAGTCGAGCCTGCCCGAACGAACTACTTTCAAGCCAGAGTTCTCTAAAGGTGGAGTTAATAAGCTCAATAATGAGAATAAAATTTTCTGTGCAAGCTAAGATTTCTTGTATAGAAGGCGGCCACTGTGCCAGAAAGACCGATTGTCAATATTACGAGCTGTGTTGCCCTTTTCACCACTGTTTCTGCTAATTCTAGGGTCGGCAAATTTACGCACACGAGTAAAAAAATGCTTATTTCTTCTAATATACGTACAAATAAAGTTGGTGTTCCGTATTGTTTATAATGTCTGAAAATGTGAAGAGAATAATGTTGAAAAAAAAAAACGCCAATAGAATATTTATAAAAGAACTTAAGTTCTTTTTTAAATATTAGACAACATCATATACCTTGCTCTAACCCCAAAGTAAATAGCTAAAGCACTTGTGTTACGAAAATCGGAAACAACGACGGTACCACAAACATCCAGACTCAAGACAATATAGAATTTTTTTAAAGTAAATAAGTAAGTTCGAACGCGGGACCTCAGAGATGGTGACGTCATGAAAACCGGTGTGTAAGCCATATGATACCGGAGGTCATTAAACAAATGAATTTGACTCAAATGCTTTAGTCCACCGATATGTTGATTTAAATGAATGATGTTTTTTTGACATAAATGCTTAGTCTGCCGACATTAGAATTATCAGTCAATAGTTTGACACTGTTGGAAAGACAAATTTTAACCTTACGCGACTAGCCGACTGATGACAGAATAAATTTTGAATTATCCTTCACGGATATAAATACAACGACATTCTGAATTAGACCCTTGACACATTGTTTGCGCTTGTTTTCGTCCTAAATCTAAAATCAATTGTACCTGTATAGGTATGTCTATTATTAAGTACTTGCTATGATTTTATTTCGTACCAAAATTATCCTAACCACAAGTTTTAATCCTCTTCATTATTTTATATTTTACTATACAATGTTCAAGGTACACAACTCTATGGATAGTCCGACGTCGCCGTCGTTCTGCTGTTGTTACTTCTTAATGTCCGGGTCCATTTTTGTTTTGTCCATAGACGATGATACCATGCCGCTTTGGGGGTAAAGCTTGTCTAAATGCTTAAGTGACTCGTTGAGAAAATTCTGTAACAGAAAAAAGGGTTTTAATTAATTTTTTTTATTGAATTGATAATATTTTTTTTTAAATTATTCCATTGGTTTGTTATAATTTATTATTATAAATTATTAATACAAAAATCGAACACTTAGAAAAAAAAGGTACGGCTAAAAAGTCGTTGAATACCAAACACAAAGATCCAACAACAAGTTCATAGAAAAATTCGTGAAGTCCGCCGGATCGAAGGATTTTTTTCTAAGTGTTTTTTTATTATTTTTTATTATATCAAGGGACGGGACGAACAAGTCGTGTTCCTGATGATAAGCTTTCACGCCTGTCCATGACAGTTGGAGTGCCACTCAGAGCTTTAAATTCCTCACTGCGCCCGTCCCCTAAGACATAAGTTGACAAGTCCCGTGTGCCTGTACTTTCACCAGCACCCTTCAAAACCGGAACACAGTAATGCTGACATTACTGCTTGGCGGCAGAAATAGGCAAGGTGGCAGTAATTCTCTGGATGAACTCTTTCACGAGGAGCTCTAATGCTATTGCTACTGGTTTCAGAGCAGTGCGGAGTTAACTGCCGACCGTCCGCGCGATGGAGCGTCGAACATCGAACATCGTTATACCGTGACGCGGATTGCTCCGTACGGAACACGCTACGCGTGAACTCCGCACAAGCCACCTGTGCGTTCATTGTAGGCGACTATCTTCCGTGAATATCCGTACTAAATTAACTGTGGATTCTACGCATGCGAATCGCCCGCAGGCGGACAGTCCGTAAGGACTGTGCGCACAGCTGTGAAAGAAGCCCTAGGAATTACAATATGCAACAAATTTGCAAAAAGCTTCTGTTTCTGGTTTGACAGTATTGTTTTCTGTTTAATTGAGCAGCAAATATATAGGTTTGTGGCTGTCATAGTGGTGTTTATATAGCGGCCTATTTACATAGCTAGATCGGGTACGCGTATAATCTCGCAAAACTACACATTAGTAGGTTCTTTATCATCTGTAGAATTTTGGTTGAAATGTACCTACCATTAATTTGAAATACACACAAATACACACATGCTATCAGGCGTCTAACAAAATAATTACTGACCAATACTTACACGTACCTAATAATTTACGCAACTTACACTTAAGAACTAATAACTTTTACAATTTGATAAATGAATTGACTTAAGGATGGAAGGAGGACGTTTTACAATTATTATTGCATTTACCATAACGTTACATAGGACGGGAAAGGCTTAAAACTAAGTTAATAGCGCATTATGGATTCTTTAGGGCACTACAAATTATATTTAGTGTGAGGAGAATTTTACAATATTTTGAAATTTGGGACTGTTGGTTTGTCTTACAATATTTAGTACCTACATTTATGGGCCCAGTAGGACATGACATTAATTTCTCAATTGTATAATATTATACTAATTGCTATACATTCACATTAGTTTGTGAACAAAATCGACTTAGGATACGTCATACCTAAATCAATTCACTAGCAGTTGACCAGTTTAGTAGCTGTAGAGCTCCTTGTGAAAGATTTCGTCCAGGGAAGTACTGCCTGCCACCTTACCTATTTCTACCGCCAAGCAGTAATGTCAGCATTACTGCATTCCGGTTTCGAAGGGTAAGCGTGCTGGTGAAATTACAGGCACAATGGGACTTATCAACTTATGTCTCAGATTGACGGGCGCAGTGATAGAGCACATCAGATCTTTGCGACTTAAAGTTCTGAGTGGTATTCCAACTGTTATGGACAGGCGTGTACCTTGCCATCAGGCACGCGACTTCTTCGTCCCGTCACAATATTATAAAAAAAAATCAATTTAAGATGTGTTCAAAAACCAACTGGACTTTTTAAAATCGATCGAACAACGTGCGCTTTGCGGAATCAGTGTTTTTTATCAACCACATTATATTATGATTTGGCAGGTGCCCCGGTTTGCCCCCCTAGATCCGGGGCTGCTTTCACGTGATGAAAGCACCTTTGACGTATCACATGTAGCTTTATTATACCAAGGGTGCAAAACTTACTTGTATGGCAGTAAGTGCAGCGACTATGGCAGGCCCGCCAAAGCCGTGCGAGATGAGAGAGAAATGCGTCAGATGCCGTTGAATGGCAGGCTCTAGTAGGTGCGGCGGCCGTGTGTTACACAGCGGCGATCGGTCTTGATTCAGCAAGTCCATTACTTCTTTTACTACCTGTGGATCAACAATAACTTGGTGTAACGAACGAACGAAAAAATTGAGAACTACAGTGAATTATCAAACAATAGGTAGTAACAATCTAGTGACGTATTTTCACAAAAAATATGAATGTCAGTGATCATAGCAGTAAAAACATTATGATATTTATTAAGTAAATATTACAATGAATACAGCGACATCTCTCGTCAGTTTCTAGTATCTGCACAGGTATCCGGCTGAGTGAAGAAACTTCTTATACAGCCAACTTGATAGTTCGATGGTACAGCAGTTATTATTTGATTTTAAAATCAAGACTCAATATACATATTTTTCAATTACCTCGACGTCTCAGGCGTGTTGCAACGTCCATGGTCTCGAAAGGACAGTCAGTCGCTTCGAGACCAATGAAGTTGCAATTGCAATGCATAATGTTAGTTCTGATTTTAAAATAAAAAAAATAGTGAAAGTTTAAACCAATATAGAACAGCAGTTAACTCAACAATTAGTTATCACTATGTCACCAGAATTTATTTAATCCAAATTCCTATCCGAAAGGCAGTTAATACTTACCTAGTACATGAGCTACCTATCTATCTCTGTTGTAAAACATACCTACATACATACTGTGTGTCATAAATACTCTCATGTTTAAAACGTTCTTTATAGTTTGTAAAATAAGGTTATTTATTGGGTTTAGATCAGGATACGAAGTGATAATTATCATTGATAATTATCAGGATAGTTATCAATTTATTAAAATTAATTGGAACAACGAAATGCTACCACTAGCAATGTCGTGTCATGTGTTTGTATCCGAGTGGTCAAAAGTGTCAAATGTCAATCTAAAAAAAACAAACCAAATCTTTTCTTTTTCCCAAAAACATTTCTTCGTATTTATTTAGTTTTCTCACAGATTGTCATATTTAGTCAAAAATTAAAGAGACAAAACTATGAATCAGTATCGATAATTATCGAATAGGTATATATTGGATATGTACAAAAAAATATAATATTTCTTCTTCAGCGTAGTGGCAGATTGTACTTAACGGTTCATGTGCTCAAGTGGTAATAATATATTATAAGTAATGAAACGACGCTTACTTGTTTGGTCGCCTGTAATAGATCACGCCGACGTCGTGCATCGTGCTCAGCGTACTGCCTCGCTAAATACTCCGCTAGCGCCCTCGCTGGGAATTCTGTCTCGCAAACGTAGCCAAAATCCCGCGCCAAATGAACTGCTTCAGCTATGGTTATATAATAACGTATAAACATTAAATAACATTACGAAACGTAACGTATAAACATAAAGAATAATTTAAACAATTTTGTAATAAATATCAATATCAAGTTGCATCAAAAATGTCAATGAAAACGCAGCACAGTTTTTTTTTGGAAAAAGAAGCTAATTTTTATGGCGGGAATTTTAGCCTGCGTAAATTCCTGCAGACAACCATTAGATAAAAGCACTTAATGCACATTAAATGTACTAAATTTAATTACATGCTTCAAATACAAACAAATAATATGACCCCAGTTTTGTGTGAAAAACCTATTTTTCTGGATACTCTATGGTCATACAGGATATAGCGCGAAATTTGAATGCGAATTTTCATTCTAATACATAGATAACCACAAATTACATCCAAAGTCACGAAATAAATGTTCGTCCCACAAACATTTCTCATAAAAATAACCCTTAAGGCGGTAACGCGTCGACTTTGCTGATAGTACCATTGGTTGTTAAGTTTTCAATATAATGCATTTATTACTTAGTATTTTATTAGTTTTCTATTGTCTTTAAAAAAATCTGCAGTTAGGCTTTTTGTCAGGTAATTTATCGGTTTTTGTGTTGGTGTGATTTTAAACGTCAAAAAAAGGTTAAATTATGATAACAATGTTCATAATAAGAACCACTGGCCGCATATACTAGAACGTTTAATTTGAAATAAGAATAACTTATAACGTCCTTTGAATTCGATTGAACTTTGTGGTATATGTGGCCAGTAATAAAAAAAAAAGAAACTGAAAAATGTTTACTTCCGTCAGACATATTAGTTTCTAGATCGTGCTTACTGATTGTCATCGAGTTCGATTTCTTAACATTAAAATAGGTAAACTCCATTTGCACGGAGCTCGCACGAAAAGCTGTTATTTTATTAAAAGCAGGTTACCTTCAACTAAGGAAGTGAGCAGCGTCACGTTCGCTGCTTTCCGCCGCCCGGCCGGAAGGTTGAGGCCAATCTTCTCCAACTTCTCGCGAAGTATTCGTCCGCCATTCTTACTCTTTGCTCTGTAACAAAAATTAAACTATGACAATTGATACATTACATTATTCCATACAATTAATTACATGTAACGAAATATTATCTAATTACAAAACTAATTATATAAGTGACCACAGCTTATAAAAACAAAGTAAGTAAGTGTAGATAAACATAAACTTAGATATGGTCTTTTAGAATTTATATTAGTGGCCTATCTCAAAAGCATATAACTCACCAGGAAGATGGTTTAAAAAAACCTAGGATTATTTTAACCAATGAAAAGCTCTGTGGCGCTGCAGCAGCGCCACTACTAAATTTTATGCAATATTTAGAAGCGCAGCTGCAGCGCCACAGTCGTGTCACGCACGCGCGACTTTTGCAGGCTGATATTGTTTGAAAATTGCACTGCAGCTTACGCCAGCGCTTTCTTTAGTTACCGCACAGAGTAATCACCATTTAGAGCGATCTATTTGAAATATTGTTATTTTTGTACGGAAATAAAATCTGACGAATTATTAAAAGTCACGGAAATAAAGTTGTTTATGATGTTATTTATGTAGTCCTGGGAGGTTATTAGTATTTTAAACCGACTTCAAAAAATGGAGGAGGTTTTAAATTAAAAACCCTAAAAATCTAAATATAAGTAGGATGCTTCCTACCTTACCATTAAATCGATAGTACCTACGTATGTACCTAGAAGAATTACCTAAACTAAATCTATGTACACGTAGTATGGCAACCTACATCATCTTAATTGTCCATTTGATGGTCAACGACCTAGCACTGGCCACATGGTACAAAAAAAAACAAAAAATGCTACACGTCGTTCAACTTGACAGGTCGCGAGGTACAACTGGTAGAGCTACTGGCCCCTAGATGGAGCCACCGATAACCTATCGATTACCGCCAGACGGTAATGATTGACGCATAGAAAGTTTCACGATAACTCATTACAATCCCGAAACTTAACGTTCAACTCTTAAACTCATCCGTTTAGAGTTTATAACCGATTAATTTTAAACGTATTCATAGTAAAATGTAAGTTTGTAATATTGCTAGTAACGTCCGAAACGGGCTACTTGTATTAACCATCGAAAAATAAATGCTCGTTAACGAAATTGTTTTCGATTTTCTTTGATGATAGCAGTTTAAGAATAAATCTAGCGAAGGAATGCGAACTGGTTAGTTAGATTGATTGAAAAAAAAAAACAGTCTCGTTGAACTTTTTATTATAATTAAAATTTTTAGGTGCGCACAGTCAACGGCATGTTCAGCTTCACACTTCCACTTTGAACACTTCTTATTGTAAGAGGCATAGATAGGGTATTAGAAGTTGAAATTTGAATAAAACAAATTGTACAAAATTTGTAGAACCTGTTGGTTCATTGACTGATGGTGCTTTTGTGTTCGAAAGTTACTATATTTAGTATATTTATGATTTTAGCTTTTATATAATTCTATTTCTAACACCAAAATTAATGTCAAGAGTCAGTAATGCGCGCTAAACAGTTTCCTATAACAACTTATTAGCTTTACGTATTTCCTTTTAATCAAAACGTTAAAGTCGTAAATGCCGACGCATAGCGAGTCCACAAAGCGTGTTAGATAGGTTTAATTTTCGAATGAAGCTGTCTTTTACCTTTTCACTTCAATGCGAGGGACTGTACGGTGGAATGCGAATACAAAATATCTTCGTATAGTTATCTTAAGGATTCAAAATCGAAACGCAGTAATGTTGACATTACCGCTTGGCGGCAGAAATATGTATGGTGGCAGTAATTTCCTGGACGAACTCTTTCACAAGGACCTCTACTGCTACTAAAAAAAGTATCATAGGTTCATTGAGAATTAGTTTTATCGAAATAAGAAATAATAAAAACAAGGTTGTAACGGAACGTTGACGGACAACCGCCATTGCGAAAAATATTTGACGAGAAAGAGCGTGATTTTGTTTTTATTGGATTTATACCAAAAAGATATTATAGTATAATTTATAACAGGCCCTGGAGTCTCATTTCTACTTTGAAAATCTCTCAATTGTAAATAGGTAGGTACTATCAAAGTGAAACTCTACTGCTACTACATGTTATCTATTCCTCATTACCAGCTCAAGTCGTCATAGCTTCATTAAAGAAGTATACCCTCTGGACGGGGAAACTAAACAGGCCCGAATAATTCTCTGGAAAGAGATACCCCACGGCATCACTAATCCCGCGCTGCGGACCCAAGTCGGCCGAAGCAAGGAGTGCATGCACGGGTGGGGTTACAGGTCAGAGAGCGCATGTCCGTGTGGTGTTTCTCCCCAGACAAAAGCATATGTTTTACCCTGCTTAGCGTGTCCGTACACTTGCACACGCGAGGACCTGTACAACGCCACTGGTAATGCTATCTCAGTCGCTAAGTACCTCACAAATATGAACGCCAGAGTCGACACGCCAAGAAGTAGAAGCTCAAGTGTAAAATAAACACAATAACAAAATAAATAAAAGCTAGAATTAAACACCTTAACATTTTCACACGTTAGGTTGCATTATAACAAAAGGGCGTTCCGTTATAACGTTATAACAAGCTAAACGTTCGTAAGTCGAATAGAAAACTAAATCGGATGAATCGACAGATTGGACGTACTAATAGGCATCGGTTTCGTTCGAGTACTTACATACTTACGATTAAATTATATGCTTTTAAATGTTAAGCAAGCCGAGTTTGTACGAAAGTTACAAAAAGGGGTTACTTTCTTATGTAATATACCAGAAGCAACATTAAGATTTAAACATAATTTAGGCTGGTAATGGTACAGTAAATAGAATTGATCTGTTCGACTTCTGGATCACTCGTATGTCCGGTATCAGAGAGTTGTATTTAAATATTAAGTTTTAAGCTGGCCTTGCTCTTGACCCTATTTAGTACTGTGATAAAAAACAACGTGACTAAAAAATATTTTAAAATTGTGAAAAAAATGATTTGTCCTCATACTAAATTTACACGGTCAATTGGATTCACCAACCGAAGCGTGGTCGGACTTTTTTGTTACATCGTAAACTATGTATATGATTACAGTGTGATAATGTGCGTTTTATCCCACCGTTTACCTGGTTTCAAAATAGGGAATTCTTTTCACTAGCTTTCTAGAGTAACGAAATTATCTACGAACATGGGTGATCTGATTATGTTAAGTAAGGTTCTGGTCTGGACCTTGAATTAAAAAAGTACGATTTCTAAGTTTACTTTATTTGAAACTCGTCATTATCTCATCATCTCAGCAACTCATCTCGTCTAGCGCCCAGATTGCTGACTACTTGGCCGCCAAATGTATTGTAAGCATCTTTGTCATCTAATATTTATTAGGGAATGGGAATGGTCGATTAAAAAAGATACAAAAAAATTTCACAGAAACAAGAAAACCGGGAAGAATAAGTCGTGCGCCTGATGGTAAGCTACACGCCTGTAAATAACAGTAGCAGTGCCACTCAGAGCTTTAAATCGCAGAGGTCTGAGGGGCACTGCCACTGCGCCCGTCACCCTGAGACATAAGTTGACAAGTCCCATGTGCCTGAAATTTCACCAGCACCTTTCCCTTCAAAACCGGCACACAGTAATACTTGGCCACAGAAATATGTAACTATATGCGATATAGCTAAAATGTCTTATAATACTCCTATCTTATTACGTTAAACGCGTTGATAAATTACAGTTACATTTAACTATCAAGTTAACTATCGATTCTTACATATAAATATAACAATACAACATCAAACACGTGCCAAGGATGCTCACTTATAATCAAACGCATAACACAAAATATAACATATTATAAGTGTATTTATAATCATTAGTCTCGCTTTGTAAACCAGTTCAAACTTCCTTCAAAATCGGAACACAGTAATGCTGACATTACTGCTTGGATTAATTTAATGGATGCTTTATAGATATTGTTATAGAAGCAGTGGTATACAAATACCATTACCATTAGACTCAACTCACACTGTTTTCTGGTTTTCAAGTACAATGCCTGGCGACGCGCGTCGACGCGCGTATTTGCATAACACAAATTTCTACCTTAATAATGGGAAAATAGAGATGGATATGCCATAGGCGAAAAACATGACGCGTCGCGACGCTTCGACTCTGCGCTAGTGTGAGTTGAGCCTTAGGGTTTGACCTACCATCTCTCAAGCAGAGGCTGTGGGTTCGAATCCGAGGTCCGCACCTTTGAGTTTCTCGGAATTTATGCGCGTAATTTAATTTGAAATTTACCTCGACCTTTCCGATGAAGGAAAACATCGCGATGAAACCTGCTCGTTGAAGAAGGTTCACAACCCTCGGAAAACGTGTGAAGTCCCCAACCTGCATTGAGTCAGCGTGGCGAACTATGACCTGAACCATCGCCTGAGAGGTACCCAAGCCCAGCTGTGAGACGTATAAATGGGTTGATGGTGATATAGATATTACATACCTAGAGCAAAATCCACACATACAGACGGTATATATATTTCTTGACACTTAAATTCCATAGGTACCTTTTCGTGTGAATAGACACATTTAGTTAACGTTAATTATACGAAAAGATATCTACCATTGGCATTTCTAAACAAACGCTTAATGTAAAAGAGTTTTTGTACACACCGTCTTTTGTTAGACATAACGAAGATTTTTGTCAGTACCTAACATGATGAAGAGGTTTGTGGGTGGATGGGGAAATCGAGTCAATTGAAGTACTCCACTCTATTAGTTTTTGTAACGAAAAACTGATTTGTGGAAGATTCGCTTATTAAGAAATACAAGTTATCAAAGCAGTTACAAAGCGAACGTGTTGATAAAATATGTTCGTATATTCGTTATGTATGTGTGTGTGTGTGTGTGTGTGTGTGTGTGTGTGTGTGTGTGTGTGTGTGTGTGTGTGTGTGTGTGTGTGTGTGTGTGTGTGTGTGTGTGCGCGCGCGCGCGGGCCGTGTGCGTGCGTGCGTGTGTGTGTGTGCTTACCTATTTATTATTTAAGAAGCCGCTATTGGTAGCTGTAAAGGTTAAGTGAAAAAAAACTGTCATAGATTTCTCAGTAAAAAAATTGTTAAAACAAAAAAAAAGATCTGCAACAGGCTCATTGACAAATTCGTAAAATCTGCTGACTAGTTCCGTACCTCAGCTGGGAAAGCGATAGCCCCGGTATGGCGAGGTCGCCGGTTCGAGTTCAGCCGTTGTTTTCTTTGCGTTTGTTCGATATTTGTAGCACTAATATTATCTAAGTGTTATGTAATTATGACAATAAATGAAAACACTACCAACAGAAAAAACATCATTTTCATGTCATTTTATTAAATGTAACAAGTTTTTAGTTTAGTGTAAGTTCGGAAGTTTATTTTTTTAAACTTTCTCGCTTTTTGTGCAATTATGACACGTGTATACAAGTACCAATATCGACATAAAAGCATCGATATAATATCGATATTACTGTACTAAACGACATGCGCCTATAGTGTACACTACACGAAAAGTAAGCCAAATAAAAAAAACTTTCTTATTAAAAGCCTCAATATTAAAAGTTCGGTACACTGGCTTAGGATTTTATTGTTCGTGTTGTCGGCAAAAATTATTCTTTAGAAATCCGTAAATCGGCGATAATCCAAATAGACAGGCGTAGGTAAGTTGCCTTACTGTCTTATTTTTATACCCTGCGTACATCGAAGAGTATCTATTAATAATCCGCGATTGATTAAACTCAAATGGCATTCCTCTTGAGACACAATGAGTTTCGAATTTCGAAATAAAAGACCTCACTGGCTAGCGCGTGTTTTGACAGCGGATTCTTTTTTCAAACACAAACGGCCGTTTTTCTAGTGATTGATTCTTGGATTATAAATTGATAATGTGCGTCCGCTTTCTTATAGGTTGGTATTTTAACTAGAAACATGTGGGAGTATGTTTGGAATATCCATGGATTTCTGTTGTTCACGATTAGGTACTTTTGTTTGCGGTCACTTGACCGAACATCTTCCGAATTGCATGAGAACCCGATTTCTATAAATATTACTTAGAAATCAGGTTCTTGGCACATTGTTTAAATGTTATTTAGACAATGCTTTTGTACTGCCTCCATGGTCGAACGGTTACCATGCCGGAGTGCCACGCAAAGGTCCCAGGTTCGATCCCCGGGCCGGGAGAAATATTTGTATGGCCTACATTTATTTCTCTCGTGAGCTTAGGTTATTTGTGGTTGTCTATGCGTGTGTCTATGGCACCCGCGACACAGGGTTTCCCTAGTGCGGGGCTATGTTGAGTGTGTGCGTTATTATTATTATGCACTGTGAATACCAATGAATTGAAATTAATACATAGAGAGATCAAGGTGTCGGGCACCTCTCACAGTTTTTATTATATATTCCTATTTGTAAAACTATTATAGAGTGAATGCTGAATGAACATAAGCTAGATGGTAATGAAATAACATAGCGTCTTATTTCAATATTTCATGACGGTGCATGTCAAACTGAGGAAGTAGTACGCCATAACCCTTTTATGAGTAGATGTTATAAACCATAAAGAACCAATAAACCCTCTATAATAAAGAAACTGTGAGGTATTTGAATTGCCTTTCATAGACTAATTTAATTATACTTTACGTGACACAATAACGGTTATTAAACTTTGCAGTACAGCAACTTGTTTATAAATAGAACAAAAATAAAAAGAAATATTGAAAGATAATTACGTAAAAGCAAATGAAAAAAGGCATCACAATATCAAGATTTTAACATAAAAATTACACGTTTTAACACGTAAATTAGCTACAGTGTCACAAAGCCGGTATTTATGTATGCATCGTTCTGGAAAATTTATTAAAATATTGTGATAATTGTCTGTACCGGAGAAGAAGGCGCATGAGTATGCGAAATATTTAAGACAATGTTCCAACCAGCCATCTGCCTGTTTCCCGCCATTATTCGTTGTAACGGTGTTGCCGTGTACAAGAATAAATTATTTTTCAAAAGCACACTGCCCAGTAACATTTTGACCACGGTAATGACGGCAATTAGCCGGTCCCGCAGCGTACTAAATTCAATTTTAAATGATTAAAACAAGAAACTGGCCTGTGACAGTTATTTATTGTGTGAAGCTCATTTCTAGTTATTTATGGAGATACTAAAATTATGTTCCTTGCATAGATGTGTGAATTATGTCATTTTTAAGATCTAATTAAATAAATTTTAACAACACCTGTACAGCTTTCATGTCAAAAAGTGTTTCATTGGAAAACACGCGTACTTTATCACTAAGTTGTATCGGTTAACGTTTGTCGGTACTTATAAAGTTATTAACATATAAATAATTACTCAACGTTTAATATTTATTACATGATACGTTTTGTTTTAACCTTAAAAGAATAATAATATCCAGGCAAGTAACACAAAATCTAGTTCTTATTTTCAATTTATTAAAACTGTAACAAATCGTTCTCATTAAAAAAGTTTTTAATGAAAATTTGTCTCCGATTATACGTTTTGTAGACTACGGTAGCTGGATTCTTTAAAAAAATCCTCTTAATTTGAACGAAAACCGGTAGCTCTTAACACATTTTCGACGATGGTAACCGGATACTCACACAATGAAATGCCTTCAACCAATAATTACATTCAATAAACATGTAAGGGGCATATTACGTATAAATTTTATACGTCCCGCTTCTAACCGGCAGTATAGTAAAAAAAAAGTCTAATAACCACCGAACAAAATCATCCTATCTTTATAAAACTTTACATGTCGTGGTCGCCGCAAGTTGTGCGGCACAAACCGTTGGATTATCTTAAAAAAGTTCAATTGGGTGACTAGGTACCGATAAAAATAGCGAGTTTCATATTTCTGTTTAGGCACCTGCACTTCCCTGGTTATAAATGTTCGAGTAGCTTTATATTTTGTGGTTGTTACAAAACAAAGAAGACAGTAACATGAAAAATGAAATAAATTCAAGATATTATGCATGTAGTAATTACAAAAAAATATTTATTAACAGTTGTTTTTATTCTTTACGAGGCTGCAATGAGATATTGGACACACGAACTTGTGTAGCCAATTACTATGTAATTTGTGTCATTTAAGTTTATGGTTATAAATTTATAATTCTATTAAGAAAAGATCGTAAATAACAAATCTACATAAGTACGCATAACAAAATATGTAACAAGTGTCTATTCGATATTCAAATTAAGTCGTGTGTAAACGTCGAAAGGTTCAATTTTTAATGGGAAATTCCGTACACATCTAACATATCGTTCTGCTATTGTATATAAAATATGTTATAATTCTGGTAGCAATTTTTAAATTAATGTTGTACAATTATTTAAAATATTGCCACTTAAACGAAGTTTATCGTTTAATATAACCTATAAAATATAGCTTTTTAATAATAATCAGAAGGTTATTTTAGATATTTTGTAACCAGTTCAAAAGTGACCCATAATTTCCACTTTATATTTCAGTGGTCAGCTGCATAGGTGCCCTAAAGAACACAATTAAATAAAAAACGCAGTATCTCCTTGGTGCGGTTAACCTCTTGTTTATTTAACGTTAAACTGGTAGAAGCCGCAGCGTATGTATTACTTATTTTTTACTTTGAACTTTAAGTACTTACTTGGGTATGCTACTGTTAACTTTGTCAGTTAAAACATGGGATAAAATAGGTTATAAAATAAGAATTTTATGATATGACTGGCAAACAATGCTTCGTGCCGTGTTGTTTTGGTAATGATAAAGAGAAAGCCAGCAGCCTGACAACATACTCATTCACTAATTTCGCTTCAGTTCATCGAAAAACAATTGTGAATTTCATTACCTACACATGTAGGCATACTATAGACATCTATAGTCTTTAAGTTTATGTGTGAAGTAAATCATATTTAATTTCCAAAAAAATAATTAGTTTCACTCACCTTCTAAGTACGCCTCCCAGCAAACTTGCATTTAAGCATTCTGGTGGTGATAACCTTCTCTGTACTTCGGCCACTGTCACTTTGTACTTGCTAGTTGATGACAGTAATGACAATCGCCCTGGCACTGAGCAGAATACGTCGTTTGGTGCACAGGAACCTGAGCCACCTAGACCATCGCGTCCTTTCATTGCTGAAAAGAAACGAAACTTTAGATGGTAATAAGGATTGTTGTGTAGATGGCGATGATTAAAAAGTAAACCGCTATGTTTAAAAAACTTAATCAGTCAACTTAATTATGAAATTCGCTTTTATTTTCCAAGATTTTTATTAAGTTTACCTATTTACTGAGCTATTATAAGCTTTAAAACTTATTGTATCAGGCTATACATAGTGCACTTTGATACTGTATTCTGTTGCTGTTTCAATTTTATATTTTCAATTCAATCATATCATTTAATACGTGCGCAATTCACAAATGAGTGTACCAAATGTACATTCTACAAAAAATACGGGTGATTACAAAATTCCCGGCTTCGAATACCAACAATGACCCTCTTACAATCACAGCCACGCCCCAAACATGCGCTCAGCGTGATCACCATTCTCATTGTAATATTTCTTTATGGCAACCCTAATACAATAAACATTAGTGTGTCATTACCGTTGCACCATACTGGCTATTTAGCACCGTTCTGCCATTTAATAAAAAAAAGAAGAATTGAGGTGGTGTTATTTATTATCGGCCAATTATAAAGAACCCAACAGTTCCATTTTTGAAAATACAATTTTGGAAGCTATTTTCTAAAGACTGTATAATGTTTTGAAATAAGAACACTCATTAGTGAAGTACATCGACGGGTCGAAACGTACTCTATTACTGTATTCAAATATCGATTGATTGATCGATACTTTTATGTATCTCTGATACTGATTCATTCGGCCGTTGAATGAGGCGGATTTTTTTTACAATCTACTTAGAAAAATCGATACACCTATCCGATAAGTGCAGAGGGGCCTAATTACCGTTTTATCTGACGCAGGTCATCGATAAGAGTAATAATAAAATGTTTGATAAGTTAATAATATGTAGTTATATTAGTATCTGCGTGGCATCAGTTTAATGTACAGTGATTTTTAAAGCGAAAGTGTATCCTACCTAGTAGATGTAATGAAAATGAAATATGTAGGGTGAGGTCGATAACTTTAAAAATTAAGTTTTCTCAGCTAAAAAGCCATCAAATAACGTTTTAAAAAAATATGACCTTAGTGTATGGTGTATAATATATACACATTCTTGAGTTTTAAGTAGCAATTAATGTAATATGAGTTTCTGGAATTACATCTATTTGCCAAGTATTATTGAAATTGGTTAACGGATAAATAACGGAAATACACACAAAAAAAATGCAGTCGAATTGAGAACCTCCGCCTTTTTTGAAGTCAGTTAAAAACGGACTTTATTTCGGTTTTACTTTCTTTTTCTATGCAGTTATCGCCCTGGTAAGTGTGTGATTTTGGATTTTTATAATGGTTATTAACATTGACTTACAAATAAATGGACGACGGGTCTAATACAAAAACCACGAAAAAAATGTCCCAAGTCAACCTATTCGAAATTTAAATTGTAATGTCATCGCAGTATCGCGCTGTCCGTAGAACAAATGAAGACTAAAGTGGAGTGTCGCGCTCTGTATACGATTTTAGCGCCTTACAAGTGCGGACACTTTTTAGCGCGGACCCGACGTCCATATAATTGTAAGTCAATGGTTATTAACAAAAAAATAAGACACTAGACTTACTTTTTAATAATGGGAGATCTGTCATGAATCCTGACGTATCGTCCATGCCTGCATTCTGCGAAAGAATAATTGAATCAACGTATAGACAGCTCACGAAGAAATATAAATACACCCTCTGCTCTTTAAAGTGTTCTTAATTCATTTATTGATCGACGACAAACGAAGTTTTGATGCGATATAATAATAGTAATAATTAAATTACATATTTAGGCATGAATCCCATCACAACACACAACAATCATATAATAACAAAAATGTCAATATGTTATTAATTAAAATTAAAATTAGATAAGTAGTCGCATCTTGAAAAGAAAGTTTGCACAAGTTCATTCTTCGACTTATTTTATCTTTCCGTGAAAGACCATTGACCCTTTCGTAACAGGGCGCAAAAATCGTTCACCCTGTTTAGTGCAAACATGCCCGACTCGATGCAGCGCCATGGCCGACGTATCATGGCTCGAAATACTATGTATTAACTAATTAGACTCAATGACGTTCACTAGTACGATGAGGTACTTAATTCCAGTGTCACTTCCCTTTTAAATTATATAGTAGGTACAAAAATTATACGGTTTAGGTAGTTGTCAATTTATGACTTAACTTTATAGAAATTATACAAAACAACTAAATAAACTTTATTCAATAAAAACAGATATTAAAAAGAATATCCTAAATCTAAAGATCAGCACTAGACTTCTTCAATAGGCACTAAAATATGAAAAGATGTATACAAAACAAATTACGTAAAAAACGTGTAACCTGAAAAAATTCCCCGTATGTATCGTGATTGGTTCAAAAGTTCCCATTGTATAACGGCAGCATTGCCTCGTTGAGACACCTCACCCTATGAACCTACCCAGAGCGGGGCATTCAAGAAAATTTGAAACTTTTTTGGGCATTCGCGGATTAGTGTTCGCTACTTAGTAGCAGTAGAGCTCCTCGTGAAAAAGTTTATCCAGGGAAGTACTGCCTCCTTACCTATTTATGCCGCCAAATAAAATGCCTAACGTGCCTGACGTGGCCTTTTCGCTCATTCTTAAATTGGTTAGCTTTTATCATTTTTCTAAAAACAACATAATAACTTGATCTTGTATCTTGAAAATGAGATCCGATACTGTAAAAATGATGCAAGACAAAACAGATGTGAATACATTAAATTATTTCAACTGTTTCTTGTAAATAATGTTTGAAAATTATAATTTTGGAAATGAATTTTTTTTTTTATCTAATTCGCCGTTATCATGGAACCTGTAAAGGGTCAGAAACGTTAGTTTGTTTGAAAGAAAAAAACAAATTTATAATATACGCGATTGAAATCCGAAACAATATAGTTTCATTTCCGTTTCAGTGTAACAATTGTGAAAACCTTTAGAATTACAATACTGTTGACTTAGAATAATAACGCATAGAAACCTAGTCCCCACACGCTAAGTGAGGCAAATTGAAGCGCTCCCAATGGGCCTACACGAGCGGGCGGGCCTTCAGTGCTCAAGGTCAACTTGCACCGCGAACAGATCAAGAATTTTAGCTAAAAATGACGAAATGTGCGGTAAATGAGTGTAAAAATACGTCAGACAAACATAAAATAGATACTAACATCACATTTCACAAGGAAGTAACGCGTTTCAACTTGTATTTTTATATAAATATTCACTAAAACCGAAAATTAACATACTACTAAAACTAGCCTACATGAATTTGATTTTTGCCTCACTTGTGACAGTTCGTTTGATATGAAACTATCATTCTATGCGTTATTATTCTAAGACTGTTGACTTTAATTAAGAGTGATCATAGAAATGCAAATACATTTTGCGCAATGTCCAAAGTCAGTTTAGTTATTAGAATGAAAATAGCAACTTATTAAAAATATTAATGTTTTTGCCATCCCTCAAATAGCCGATCGCCAATATCGGCAAATATGTTCGTTCGGAATTTAATAATAAGCGACTAAATTAAAACCCTACTTGGATGCTCCGGAACGCTCCTTCACATGTTTTTTTTCTTATTCGATATTTAAAAATAAACAATACAAAATATAATATTGCCAAGAAAAATGTAGACAATTTTAATTGAACTAACTTTTTTCGCACTCTTGATGTAATAAGGCCACATCTGCAAAATGATAACAGAATTTTAAAGATTCTGCGAACGAAACTTTTTCATGCTAAAATAGGAGAATTCGCATATACATTATTTGTTTCATGTAGTACGTATTGTTTTTAAGACTTTCATGTGATCTTGTTTTTATGGCATATACCTTCATTTTTCTGTTTTATTATATAGTTATGTCACACAAAAGTTGCTCCAGTGACTCGACGAAAGTCCATTTTCTTAGAAGAGACTCCATCTCTACAAGGGTATTTTTCAGGTTAGTTTTCTCTACTTAATTTCGGTGGCAGTTTTTCTTATTATAGAATATTCTCATGAAGTATTATATAATACTTCAGTGTAGGACATATCCTGAAGTATTATTTAATATGTCACGATGATATATTTAAATGAAAATATCCACCTAAATTAGGTAGAGAAAACTAACCTGAAAATTATTGACAAATGATATGTAAATGCATAAAGGTACAAAAGGGTCTGGTTTATTTTTAATATGATACGAATCTAGTTTTATTAAGAATGGGTAAGAATAGTAAGGGCATGTATTGAACTTCTTACCGGCGTTTCCTCAGTTGAATGCAAGGCATGGTGCAGGGCCAGCTCGTGCTGCTCGCGTGCGCCGTAGTCTGCGCGCCGCTCGCCGCCGCCATAGCTGAAGCCACCATGGGATAACTACGCAATAAAAACAATAATAAATCGATGGTGTTCTAGAATAGCGACCTGTCTCAAAATCAGCTAATTCATCAGGAAGATGGTTTAAAAATAACTGCAGAACATCTAAAATGCAATAATAATATGCTCGGAGTCGTTTTCACAATAAAATGTAGTTCATTCTGAGTGTAGCTGTGTAATAAGATGAAAATGAATTATTTTGATTTAAGCCACATTATGTACACTAGAATAATATAGACAATCATATTATATTCGAATTTTATTTAGAGAGAACTATTTCATAGAGAGAAAAAAATGGCGGATTTTTGTAGTTACAGTTTTTACACGTTTACATCACGTTTTGAGTTTCTTAAAGTTTTGAGTTATTGCCTTTTAATCTGATGGCTCTAATTAGGAAAAAAACACGAACAAGGTTTTTATTTTTTTGTAATACTAAGTAACCGAACAAGTCATGCGTCTGGTGGCAAGCGACACGCCTATCCATAACAGTGGCACTGCCGCTTAGAGCTTTAAATCACAAGGATCTGAAGGGCGCCCGTCATCCAGAGGCATAAGTTGGCAAATCCCAAGGGCCTGTGATTTCACCAGCACCTTTGCCCTTTAAAACCGGCAGAAATAGGCCATGTGGCAGTACTTCCTTGGACGAGCTCATTCGCAAGGACAAAGGTCCTTAAGCAGTAAAGACTGCTGCAATGTTTGCACGTTTACGTTACGTTTTGAGTTTACGGTTACGTTTTGAGTATTTAAGCTCATGGCTTTAGCCATAGCTAGCCAATGTTCGATAAATAAATTATAATAAATAATTTTAGCTGATGGTACAGTAAAGTGTATTGAATACTGTGTTAATATAAAAAAAAACAAGAACAGGATTGAAACAGCTGTGTTATTTATTATGTTTATTATGTGTTTATTTTATAGTTCTAATATTTGTTTTCCTGTCTTCTTATTGTTATTGTATCTAACAGCGTTGTCTAAGTTTATAAAATCATGTACCGATACAGAATATCGGGTTACTGTCGGGTCACAAAACGAATTTTTCTACAACAAAAATGATATGTAATATCTTCATAAATCGTTAATAGATCATAAAAGACGTTCGAGTTTCCTCAAGAATCCCACACTATTGTACAGACCCCGTTTCAGTCGGAAACCGGAACATTACCGTCACCTAATCTGCTAAAGTGCCCTGACCTATGTTATTGTTGGCTGGATATATTGGAAACCATTGCTATCATTTCTTTTAAAAATGTCATTTGAAATTTTTGGGGCATGAAAGTTTTTTATAATACATATCTTTTATTTTATTTGTTTATTGAGCATTGGTTCTATGGCTATCACCATAAACAGGTAACAAATTATTGTAAAACTCAAAACGTAACATACTTTAAACATTAATTTTATATATAATGTTTATATATTTTTTTATCATATAGCATATATGTTAGTCCTTAACCTTATATTGTATGTATGTCAGTCTTGAACTAAATAAACAAAAAAAAAATAAAGACCGTCGTACAAAAACCCGCTATTTTTTTTCCTTTTTTGACTAGAGGCGCAGTTGAAAACGATTCATAGATAAAAAGCATGAGTTAGAAAATTTCTCATGGATATCATGAGAAATTTCTTTCTTATTCTCGTCGAAATGAAAACATAGATGGACCGTTAGAATCTTGTAAAATCTTAACAAGAATCGATGGCGTTGGAGTTTAAACTATTCCCCGCACCCTCTTTAAAGAATGCACATAGTTGCGCCGAATTGCGTTATTAAATACTCATTGAATAACTCTACAGGGTTTGCAGGGGATCTTTGCAATCTATAAAGATGATTGCGTTTTTAAATTTAAGTAGATGTAAACGTTCTTACAGAACTTAACGACTTTTTAAATTTTATTTTATAATATCAGGTAACGAGACGATCGAATCGTACGCCTGATGGTAAGCGACACGCCTGTCCATAACAGTTACAGTGCCACTCCGAGCTTTAAATCGCAAACATCCAAGAGGCACTGCCACTGCGCACGTCACAAACAAATTGACAAGTCTCATGTGTCTGTAATTTCACCGCACCCTTACCCTTCAAAACCGGAGCACTGTGAAAGCGTTGTAACCCTAACTAGCCGTGAACAGGTTCACGGCAATGAAATGGGAAACTTCCGGTCCACAAAATTTATTAAAGAAGTAAAGTTTAAAGAAAGGCTGTAACAATATAAAGGTAAATGTAAAAAAACAGGTATAACAGTATAAAACACTCTCTACACTTTATTATTAAGGCACTTACCCATAAATGGGCCGAGAAACTGAATTACAGAATAGATACATGAAGGCTATAGACTTATAAATTATTACACATGATTAGCTTCTTAACAGCTCCGACTGTTGTGGCGGTCGAGCTGGGAGTGACCGTGGTACGAAAACAAAATGAGAAAGTGAAGGAAGATGGAACAATTCAAATTTAAAATTTAAATACATGTAAAAAAAAAAAAAAAATAGGATACAAGCGGAGAGAGGCGATACAAAGAGGTGAGATGACGGTGTAAGGAGGTCACACCGTCACAACTGTAAAGCAGACATTACTGTTTGGCGGCAGAAATAGGTAAGGTGGCACTTCCCTGGACGAACTCTTCGTTCGTTCATCCAGGAAAGTACTACTACCATACTTATTTCTGCCATCAAGCAGTAATATGAGTATTGTGTGCAAGCAATAATATGACTCATTAACACATTTCTTAGGGTGACGGGGTAGGGCAGTGCGCCTAAAATTTTTGCGATTTAAATCTTTGAGTGACAATGCAAGTGTTGTGGGTAGGTGTGTCCTTTACCATCAGTTTTATATAAGTCGTGCGACTTATTCGTTCCGTTACTTGCTATAATAAAAAAAGACTAATTTTAGGTTTTTTGAAGTACCCACTCGCGTAATTCTTTTTTTCACTGCAACCAGCGTTTCTGTGGTTGTATCAGAGATTGTCCTGCAGTGTTGCAAGTTCGGACTGGCTTGTTGTCATGACAAGTTAGTGCTGATGTGTAGCGTTGAAATACTACATTGTGTATTAAAAACGGTAAATAAAAAGATAATTACGAGGGCCTATTAGCATTTAATAACTTGAGTTGTGTATTTCTTTACCGACCAAAACGGTCGGTAAAAAAATGTGTATTGTTTTTCATCACATTTGCGAGGAAATATGGTTCACAACACAACAATTATGGATTTTGAAAATGGCGGGTTTTTTTTAACAACAGATGACCAGCTCGCTATTCTTCCATAGATAATACAACTCGAACCAAAATGTTGGATGAAAGATGGATTGTTAAAAATTTTGCAAAATTTTAAACAGAATATAATTAAAAACAATTATAAGAAATTCTTTATATAAAAAGTACCTATTTAAGTAGTATGTAATTAAGTAGCTGAATTGCAATTAAGTTTCTGTTTAGATAACATTTTAAGTGAATGTTTTAACTTAAGTAACCTCTTTACTTGAACTTGAACCTGACCTATGTAAGGAAATAAATGCTACAAATAAAAAAAAACTCTACTTACCATGGTTGTAATGGGAAGAAAAAGGGCCCGAGGTTTTTATTTGGGGCATTATACTCAAGTTAACCACCATGCATTCATACTATTTACGAGCGTGTGATGAAAGTGATTATGTATGTCACTTACATGGTGCGCGTGGATTGCATCATGGTGATCCCTGTGATGGCGTAGATGCGGCGGCTCATGGTGCGCGTGGTGACGAGGTAGGAGCTGCTGAGGGGCGTAATGTTGAGCGTACTCCGCGCTACCACCGCCCCCGCCTCCATATTCCATACCATGGCTCTGTTGAAGGAATATATTTCTTTAAGTGTAAAGTTAATAATTTTACTCGAAATCGGCCTAAAATAATAGCAAGCAGCCAATTTGCGATAAATCAGTTATTTCACCATCATCAGCATCATTTATTAACAGTAGGGCTCCTTGTGAAAATTTCATCCAGGAGAGTACTGCCACCTTACCTGTTTCTGCCGCCAAGCAGTAATGTGATCATTACTACGTCCCAGTTTTGAAAGGCAGGGATGCTGGTGAAAGGTTACAAACACATTGGACTAGTCAACTTACGTCTCAGGATGATGGGCGTAGTGGCAGTGCTCCTAAGATCTTTGCGGTTTAATGTTCTGAGTGGCACTGCAACCTGTTATGAACAGATGTGCCGTTTACCACCAAGCCCACGACCTGTTCGTCCCGTCACTCGGAATTATTAAAGAAAAAGCCGTTTATGCCATAGTATACCGGTTTTTGATCAATGAAACATTATTTAAGCTAAGGGTATTGGCATGGGATGTACGTAGGATTCCCGCACAACATACCATTCTTCCTGTACATCTGGAAAAATCCGGGACAACTATCGGCGAGTACCATACGCCTATTGGCAAATCCTTTTCAATTGCAGGCATTATAGTGTAGGCATGCCATCGATTCGATAAGAAGGGCATTTAATACTGAAAATGTAAGGTGTCTCGAGACTCCCTTACCTTACCTCCCTGAGCATGTACTTAGTAAATAATTAACTATTTTTGTAGAAGAGTTTTTTCGGGTGAAATCTCTAAGTTGACTTTTTTTCCAATAAATTTGTATGAGTTATACTGCCAAGTTCAACCTAGTGAAGCTTGGTTTATTATCAATAGATAGTTACGACGTTACCTGTTGTTGATGGTGTGGGCTGGCAGGATGCGGCGCGGGCGCAAATGGCGGCGGGAAGTACGGTGGCTGGAAGTCGGCGAGGGAAGGCTGCGCGCCGCCGCGGAACCCGCCGCCGCCCAGCCCCAACCCGCCGCCGCCAAGACGCTCCTGCGCAACAAAAAAACAATAAGATTAAATCTACGCGGTCTAATCTTGTAAAAATATATACTCGGACACATAATTCGAGCCACCGTGCAATTTCAATATTATATGCTTCGCTTAAACAATGCTTGATTGCTCAAAAATGCAACGTTGAAACTGGTATACTAAACGTCACTTCCTGAAGTCCATAATGAAAATTTGAATTTAAAAAACCAGAGAAAACTTCTTCTTCACTGATAACTATATTTTAATAGTCAATTTTTCTATTTTATATACTACTCTTTCTTTACGGGTAAAAATGCAAGGTGGCTCGAATTATATGTCTGGGAGTGTATTTTAGATGTGATTGTCTATTATGAGACAAAGGATTAAGATATTGTGGTCTACAGTTTCAATTATACAAGGTTTAAATATAAGTACCTTTATGAAAAATAGTACCTTCTTTATTTATGGTGTAATGAATATCTATAAATCATGATGTTGTTACTACCTTAATATTTTGGGAAAATACTCTACTAGTTTCTTTCGTCTTAGCTTAGTCAGAAGAGAGGTAGCCCCGGTTAGACACACAAATAATCTTTTAGAATTTTTCTTTCTGTTGGTTTCGGTCTTTGTTTTAGTAAAAGTACGTTCCTTCTTTCTTTTCTACGTTAGTGTTCAAATTTAGAATTTAAAAAGTGGCAACTTTTATAGTCTAATACATGGCCAAGCATATTAGTGCTTACGTAAAATGCAGAACGCTTTGTAAAGATTGTATTGTATATACTACAGCGTAAATGGTAATTTAATATGATTGATCGATTCAAATTGTAATAATGAATGTTAACGTTCTTATTATCTTGCGTGTTGTCTTCACCTATGACTGCTATAGCATTAAGCTTTTTGATTTGTAATGCTAAATATTTGAAGGTTACAATGTATATAGTGTTTGTGAACTAAATAAATAAGTAACATTTTATTTGTTCACTGAAAAAGCAATGAGATTGAAATAAACAAGATGTTGCTGATAATCATATAAGTAACTTGTTTCCTTGTAACATGTTCTGAGTCTATCAAGCATTATGATTACAGCAACAAGTAATGAATTTAATCATATATTGTGATTGATTCCGTTAAGTATTTTGATAGAGTAACTTGATTAACAGACCTATAGGTACACATAATTTTTGATGATTCGAGTGATTTACATTATTGCGGAATGCAATGGAAGTGTATTTTGGAATTGAATAGTGCATAGCATAACGCACTTTATGTCAATTTTGTCACGTGCAAACTGGATACGAGCCAAAAAAGAGAAATCTTCCGATGATTCTTGCGCATTTCGTTATTCGTGGCTTTGGTACTCATAGTATAGGGAATACCCTTTCGGGTAATGCCGCCGATATTAATAGAATCATTGTCCTGTCGAAAAGTTTTAGTAGCAGTAGAGTCCCTTTGAAAGAGTTCCTCCAGAGAAGTATTGCCACCTTACCTATTTCGGCCGCCAAACAGTAATGTCAGCATTACAAGGGTAAAGGTGCTAGTGAAATTACAGGCACATGGGACTTGTCAACTTATGTCTCGGGGTGACGGGCGCATTGGTAGTGCCCCTCAAATCTTTGCAATTTAAAGGTCTGAGTGGCACTCCAACTGTTATGGACAGGCGTGTAGCTGACCATCAGGCGCACGACTTGTTCGTCCCGTCACTTGATGCTATTAAAAAAAAGTGCGGTTAAAGCAATTTTTCAATTTGTACCCCAGAGTGTCTTTGAGATATAAGTTTAAAGAGATTAACAGTCTTACACTAGCGTCACAGTACTTTTTTTTTTATAAAAATAGTGACAGACATAACCTTAATACGAGGAATAAAAATAAACTTAAATATAAATAAAACCTAATATAAATAAAATAAAGAGGCAATGCATACGCTTCTGTAAAAAGATTTCGGTTGACATTCAAAATTCAACATAAATGAGGTTTAAAACAAAAACTTCCTACTACTCTAAAGGTATATTAATTCTATTCTTTATTATACAGCTTCTTCGTACTTGGATAACAAAAAGTCCGTGGTAGTGACCCGTTTAGCACCTGCAGGTATTTATTCTTAATCTAAGACGCTTCAAATAAAATTTGTAAATGATAAATATATTCAAATGTATATTTACAAAGAGCAACCCCTAGACTTTCTTGCTCATTCTTCTCAAGGGAATCTGCCTTATGAATGAGCGGTAGAGTTTACTCAGTGTGACGATTTCTAGTGTAATTTGCTTACCTATGAAATAAGATGGTTTAGAATTTTGAATTCTGACTTTGGTTTGAGACCGGGTAACTGGTGTAGAAAAGCGATCTGATCTCAACAACGACTCCAGCGTAGGAAATAAGAATCTTCGATTTGCTTCATGGAATGTAAATTGAAGCTGCGAGGCTCCGTTGGCTCGAACACGTGGAGAGAATGGGAGAGGATCAATATTATATATGAAGAATGAAATTGCATAATTTGTTTCCGCCTTCCCCTTTCCATCATCGGGGGACTAGACGTGGGCTGAGGTTCCACCCCTGTGTTGTGGATATTCCCAGTATTTGCACGGCTAAGGAGGAAAATTCCTTGCTTGCTGTAATTTGGACCTTTCAAGGCGAGAGTGAATAGGCATCATTTAGAAGTGCATCCTACGTCGTCGACCTCATCGTAACTTTCCATCAGGTGAGATGGAGCTCAAATGCGCACTTATTTCTTGTTAAAAAAAATCATGTCGCGAAGAGAGCTTATGCTGGAGCGATGACGTTCAGACCTCAAGGACTTCGGTGCTACTGGCTGGAGGAAGCAGGCTCAGAACAGGAAGGCATGGCGGAATCTGATGTCGGAGGCCAAGATCCGATTGGATCACTGCACCTCCCACAGAGATCTATTAAGATTTCATTATCACCTATACAATGTTCAAATGCTAAGTGTTGGTTTCCAATATGGAGAAAGTTTTAACTATAATCGGATTACAGACTTCACACATCTTCGAAGTGGTGTGTGTTGTCTAACAATAATAGGTATACTATTCATAAGAAAATAACTCGTTCAATCTAAGAACACAAAGATCAAGCCGTTATTAACAAATCGTAATTAACTAATCATCGAATGAACAGGTTTTAAAACTATTATAGCGCATGCGCATGACCATTGTGTAGCACAAATTAGGCGTCAATTTGACCAATGAATAATAGTACTGTGGAAATAATTATGAACACAATTTGTAGCCAAGTAGTAGAAGTTTTGTAAGAGGTAGGCAAGCTTTCTTGTCGATAGGCACACATATTGTAAATTGTCAATTTTCACGGTTTTTTTGGGGTACACAAAAAAGTCCTTCCTGTACGTTGGCGCTGCCTGGGCAATACTCGAAAAGTATCCTATTTTGATTTGTAAATTTTTTCATCACGATGGCAAGCATTAGGTACAGTGTATGCTATCGATACGAGAAGAATACATTTTTTGTTTTATCTTTTGATACGTAAATTTTTATTAAGAGCGCGCATGACACTTTTTTAAATGCCACATCTGGCACTAAAGCAACATTTAGTGGAAATATGAACAATTTTGTAACCATTTCATGGTTGAAACACAAATACTTGCTTACTTCTACTTACTTACTAACTTCTAGTAGCAGTAAATCTCCTTGTGAAAGAGTTTCTCCAGAACGTTACCTATTTCTATCACCAAGCAGTAATGTGTGCATTACAGCGTTCCGGTTTGGAAGGGTAAGGGTGCTGATGAAATTACCGGCACTTGGGACTTGTCAACGTATATCTCATGGTGACGGGCGCAGTGATAGTGCTCCTAAGATCTTTGCGAGTTAAAGCTTTGCCGGTCGCAGTGCCACCACTGCGACCGTTATGGATAGGCGTGTCGCTTACCACCAGGCGCACGACTTGTTTTGTCCCGTCACTTGGTATAATAAAAAAAACAACAACTTAAAGGATGGGATCGTTTCGTGACTTAGTGGCTAATGCATTACAATGTTAAATAAAGAAGTATAATGTTTTATCAACAGATGGCGCAGTATATAATTTTAAATGTTGTCCTAAATTTTAGAGCAAATAAATAATATATAACGCACACACACACACACACAAAAAATATAAAAATAATATAAAAATAATCTTCACAAACAATTTCGGGTGGTCGTATATTCGTCTAAAGGTGATGAATCAAAAGCCCGTACAAGACAGCGCGCACATCTTACCATTTATCCAAATTATGGAGTTGATATTTCAAATTTCAAAATAGTCAATAGTAAACGTGTATTGTGATAAATATATACTATCTCAATGTAAACATATGGTAAACTGTCCTTGATAAGACGGAGTAGTATAGGTTCTCTACAGACCGCAGTAAAGCCGGCCGTATCCTGGCATATTTTTCGCACATATTTGCAAAAGTCCGTTGTAAAACATTCGCAAAAATGGCGGCGGATAACCCAAAAAATATGGGGATATAGTTGAATAGCGTGCATTTAAATTCATTCCTTATTTTAACACTTATTTATTATTTTTTCTCTTCCTTGATATTTCAAGGATAGGATATTTTCTTGGTCGAATATATGCACTTATCATATGAGTTTACAACAATCAAGTTCTCGGCTTCAAACACAAAGTAATTATTCAGCTTTGCTGTTCTCGTACTGACATCATATTATGCTCTGGTCCACACAGTATCGGTAACGTAATGATATTCTTTTGATTACGGCTCTGACACGCGAAGTCTGAATTAGAATAAATACTGATTTTACCACGTGTCTATTGTAGAGTGACTATAGATTTTTGAATACGAATATTTTGTTTTTCGAATGTGCTGAGAGCGAAGCGAAACAGTTGAAATGAGCAGAAATTCTTACACTAGAGTCACAGCACGTTTATGAAAGTTTAATTAAAGTCATTAAGAAAAGTATTTTGCACCTCACTAGCTCGGAAAGGCTTTTTTCTCAGAAATCTGCGCGGAAAGACCGTTTTTTCGAAAAATCGTTTTTTTAAAAGGTTTTTGA